TTTGGATTTTTCTACCTGGATTATTGAGCATGCATCAGAATAAAAACTTTTGTTTATCCTCATGAGATGTTCAAATAACTTTTAATTTCTGGTGTTTCAGTTCGGTGTCTATCTCCCTGGACAAGAGCCCGACTCCCATGAGCCCCTGTTCTCCGACGGAGCCCTTGTCACCTAGACAGCACTGGTCCCCATCCTGCCAGAGTCCGTCTTCACATGGCCCGGTTCAGAACGGACACACGCAGGTCATTCAACCTACACACACACATTCTGGCAGATGACTACATTTAAAGCTTTATCTTCTTCTTTTGCTTGTTCAAAAAAATGCAAAGTGCTCTAAAGCAGAACCTTTTGTTTTCTTTGTGAAGTGGCACATCTGCTGGAAATTAGCATCATATCAATACAGCTGGGTTCACTTGAGTTCAGAACCGAACTACTCAGTTCACTATAGAAACAGCATCCCCTGCTGTCTGAAGGATGAAAGTGCCAAGCTTTGTGTCAGTAAAATAACCAGGTCATCAGCTCAGAAGGACAGAAATGATGTGCATGAGCTCATTCTGATTCCGAGTGACACAAATCATTTGTGTTTTATCGCAGACCTGTTTGAATAGTCCTTCAGCTGATGGGACGTTTGAACAAACAACCAAACCTGCCTTCACCAGACAGAGCTCCAGGACCATATCTTTCAGGGTAAACACACAGAGATGCATTCATGCACACGCTCCTCCTGCCAAATGCAAACATTAACTTTTACCAATTTGACTTTTAAAACGCTCATTTAATCTCACATCAGGTGTCGACCTATCAGCTCAGGGTATTTGCTTGTGCACCTCAAGCTTCAGACTGACGTTGACAACTCATTCAAAGCGTTCACCGTTTACTGCCTGTTTTGTTTGCACCTAAACACACCACGTGAGCGGAGATAAATGTGCATTAAATGGTGATGTTATAGGGACACACACTCATTTTGGCTTGTTTTGACATAGATGATGAGGAAGAAAGAAGAGGAGAGGGAACCGCTGCAGAGGAGGTAACGTCTTTAGTGTTTTAGGCTCGTTCAGTCGGCTTCTTGGTGTTTAATGTCTGACTGGTTTGTTGTTTTGTAGTGCAAGTGTGAAGTTGGCCTCCAAAAAGTTTCAACCTAACACAGTAAGATGACGACTTGAATTTGAACTGTCCTCATTATTTTCTGGATCTTTTGCTTCTATTGTTATACAAAAGATGGTTTAGAAAACAAAGTTCTGCTTCTGTTTCAACCAGGACCAGAATGAAGATGAGGACAAAACTTCGTCTTTTCAGAGAAAGTGAGTTTGTGGACTCCATTTTCCTAAAACTATTTAAAAACAAAAATTCCATCTGAAGAAACTCGTTCATATATTTTGTTTTTCCAGCTCTAAACAAAGGATTTCATCCAGATCCATCAAGGAGAAGATGGAGAGACTAGCTCAGGCAGCACAGGTCAGTGTCCAGCTGTGTAGTAGAGTTGCATTCGGGCCCAAAAATCTGGCCCAGCCCGTAGCCATCATTTCTGAACCCCACCCGACTCGACGAATTAACAGTAATTACAGGTACGAACTATTTTATTAAATAATTTTTGATTTATTTATTTATTTGTATTTCTCACAATTTTGTGATCATTTTTTATTTGAAATCAGAGTACTTGTTTCTTAGAGCTATCCAGCATTTAAAGTGACATTTGGGTTTAGATGTTGAAAAAGTTTGTGTTTCAAGACTAAAAATGTAAAAAATGTCTTTAAAAAAATAAGAAGCTTTTGCTCAGTCTGTGTTGGAACATTTTCAGTTTACGTTGTTTTAAATGACATAGCTCTAACTTGTTGTCTGATGCAATAAGGACATTTAACTCCTCATTCCCTAAATATTTCATGCAAACCAAGTCAAAACAAAATAATTCTTTAAGTGGACTTGAATTTAGTTATATAATGTGGCCTCTTTGTGGCATTGTTTCACCGTTTCTTTCAGTCATCATGCGTCTTCCTCTATGAATATTCTTTATGGACGTTTCTTAATGATCATTTAAAACAAACGGTCTGGGCCAGATTTCCACAGCAGCAGTAGATTTACAGAGAGTTATAGTTTCCGTGAAGTTTACATCAGCCGTAGGTTTGCTCAGCTCGGCCTCCTGTATGTTCTCAGAAATCGGAAGCGGCCCGGTCTCCAGATGTGACCCAGCGGACCCTGTTCCTGCTGGAAGAAGTCTCCAGGAAAAGAAGCCTCTTTGAAAAGGATGAGAAGGAGCAGAGCCTCACCAGTCTTGGAGCTTCCAGACAAGTAAACGTGCCGTTCATGATTGAGCTCTTGGCTCTGTGTTACATGTGTGTGGACTTTCATTTGAAACAAATAAACCACATCTTTATTTTTAATCAGGAATTCAGAAGCTTTACATCAGGAATGTCAGATCGGGTCAACCAGTATCTCAACAAAACCAACCAGCCTGGGTCTCCACTAAGTCTTGTAAGGCTTCTTTTCTTTCCTTCAGCAACTATCTGACACACCTGCTGCATCTGGACACCAGGGGGCAGCAACACTCTTTACTCTGTGTGCCCTGCTTCCTGCAGGATCTGCATTTTGTCTACATTTGCTTATGAAGTTTATTATAAAAGCATTTATATATAAAAAGAGACTTTCAGTACCGGTAATTGTGTTGGAATGGAAGATGGTGACATAAATCAAATTACATCTATTGCTTAAAAATGACTTTCTTTCATGCTTTCTTTAATGTCCTTCATGACGTCACGGCATGGATGGCTTCAATTTATTTTAAGTTTTCATGCTCAGAAGTCTAAAGTCATTGAGTTCAGCTCTACCTCTGTCTCTGTTCCTGTAAACGTTGACACTCTTCAGTCTTATCTTAAGCAGTCTGTTACAAATCTCTGGATGGTTTTAGACTCTGACGAAGTTTAATAAACAGATTAAAGCTCTGTTCTGCAGAAACACTTCTCCCAGTTAAGGCTAAGCTTAAGTCAGTGCTGACCAGCTCTGACCTTGAAAAACTAGTCCGTGCCTTTATTAGAACCAGCTGGATTACTGTAACGCTCTCTATGTTGGGGTCAGCCAGGTCTACATTTCACATCTCCAGCTTGTCCAAAATGCTGCAGCTCCGCTATTAACTGGAACTCATAGGTTTGATCACATTACACCAGTTTTGTCCTCCCTTCACTGGCTCCCTGTATGGATCAGAATTAATTCTAAAATTCTCCTGCTGACCTTTAAATGCCTAAATGGACGCGCACCTTTATCTCTCTGAGTTACTGGAACCGTATGTTCCCTCTCGGGCGCTGAGATCATCTGATCAGCTGATATGGCTGTTCCACAAACAAAACTAAAGCTCAGAGGTGATCGGGCTTTTTAAATTTATTTTATTTAACTTTTATTTAACCAGGCAAATCCCACTGAGATCACAGATCTCTTTTGCAAGGGAGGCCTGGGCCTGAAGGCAGCCTAACATGCATGTTTTTATACTGTGGGAGGAAACCGGAGTACCCGGAGAAAACCCACGCAAGCACAAGAAGAACGTGCAAACTCCACACAGAAAGATCCCAGGTCCAAGCAGGGATTAAACCCAGGACCTTCTTGCTGAGAGGCAACAGTGCTAACCACTGAGCCACTGTGCTTTCTCAGCTGTGGGCCCCAAACTTTGGAACAATCTTCCCCCCAACATCAGGCAGGCCACTTCACTTCCTGTCTTTAAATCTCTGCTAAAAACACGTTTTCTCTGACTTTTTACACAGTGCCACTTGATTTAGTTTTTTATTGCGCTGCATTTCTGTTTTTCTTTTGATGCTTGCAATTAATTTTCAGTACTATTATTACTTTTATTGTTACTTTTTCCATGAAATCATTCCCATTAATTTTACTGTTAAGCACTTTGGTAACAGCTGCTGTTTTAGATGTGTTTTATAAATAAAGTTGAGTTAACTTGACTTGAATAATAAACATATATATATATATATATAT